ATTTATACAAAATATCCAGAATAAATGGATCCATAATGACAGTAAACAGATTAGCAGTCACCTGGGGCTGGGGGAGAGGGAGCATGGGGGAGTAACTGCTTAATGAGTATGGGGTTTCTTTTTGGAATAATGAAAATGTCATGGAACTAGAGAGATGTGATGAATGTACAACACTGTGAATATATGAAATGCCACTTTGAAATTGTAAATGTTATGTTATAGGAATTTAATCTCAATTAAAAAACATCATCAGAGTGGAACAGAGCGCAGGAGGCTATGGTAGCCTCATCTGCCTAGTCAGCTTTTCACATGATCCTACACTCTCTACTACTCTAAAGCATCCAGCTCTAGAGAGGCAAAAAAGATTCATCTCAAGCAACAAAAGGGGAAGAAGGAAGCTCTATGCTGAAGATAACAAGGCTATGCCCAGGATCACCGGAAGAAAGCGGATGGTCAACGTGCATGTGCACAGGATGAGAGAGTGCCAGAGCCCTGTAGACCTTAGTGTCAGCACAATCTCAGTCTGTTCTCCTTTGCCTTCAATGTCTGAATCATATAGATGATTTTTTATATCCTTATAAGGAAGCCTGCAACCAAAGACAGACTTATTTAGATTTACATATAGTATTTATTAACACAGTAAAATAGACATATTAGGAGGTATATAAAAACTTTAATTATCCAGGAAATTATTTAATGAAACTATCTACTTCTGAAGCATTCTGGATAACAAAGACTACTGTATTTACTGGAGAGGTGGACAAATATTTATATTTTGAGTTAAACTTCCACATTTTACTAAAAAGGAACATTATAACATTTAAAAACAGAAAGTTGGGATCTTCTATCTCAGAGATTTAACAAAATCAAAAACCCAGGGAGTGGGAGGATGAATAAAAAGGTAATTCTTATGTAATGCCCATTTAATCAATAACTTGATTATGAAATTAGGAAGTCCTTTAATTTTGTAAAATAAATTGAACTGACCAATTACATTGGTCAAAAATAGCTTTTAGAGTTGTTAGGAAACACTTTAAAAGCAAGGAGATGAAGGGATGATGCTGCTCTTTGAATCAGAAACCACTTCTTTAGTTAAACCTATGAAGTACAGGATCTTTAGGATTGAAATTTGGGAATTTGGGAAAAAATAAAAAATAACCTTTAGCTCACTTAGCCTATTGTAAAAGGATATTCAAATCATCCCTTTCAAAAAGGATTATTTTGTAAAGATATATTCAATTAAAAAGTTTTAGAGCATCCTAGATAAAATAAATATTTTTTAAAAAGTAATAGTAGGGGTGCCTGGTTGGCTCAGTCAGAAGAACATGTGATTGAGGATCGTGAGTTTGAGCCCCATGTGGGTGTAGAGATTGCTTACACAAAAAAGCTTTAAAAATATATAAAAATTAAAAAAAATTAAAAAGCAATAGTAGCAATCAACAAGTTATTTTCAGGGTTTCAACTGTATTGTGTGTAAACCAATATACTATAAAATCAACCAATATACTGAGTATAGTAATGATGCTATCAACACTGATTGCCAAAATGGTTCTACTCAGTACTGCAGCTTTCATTCAAATTGGTTACATGTATAAACTAAGTTCAACAGCATTAAATTTGAAATCACAAAGAGATGTAATACTGCAAGTGATACACAAGAAAATAAGATCCCAAAGAAAGTATGCACATACTTCATACTTTAAACAACTTTGTCAGATCATTTAAATCTATGCACCAAGGACATAGTATAATATGCCATTAACTTTGAATGCAAAAACTATACTAGGGCACCTGGGTGCCTCAGTTGGTTAAGCGACTGCCTTCGGCTCAGGTCATGATCCTGGAGTGCCTGGATGAGTCCCGCATCAGACTCCCAGGGAGTCGGCTTCACCCTCTGACCCCCTCCATGTGCTCTCTCTCTCTCATTCTCTCTCTCTCTCAAATAAATAAATAAAATCTTTAAAAAAAAAAAAAAACTATACTATGAAGTGTTTATTTTGCTATCAACATCTACTATAAAGTTTTAAAATTTTGTGTTAAAGTAACCTTAGAAAAAATTAAAAAATAACTTTCATCAAAACAACCTGGAAATACCGCTCAAATTTTTAAATTTGAAATCCATCCTATAACCCAGCAATCCCATTCCTAGGATTCTATCTTGCAGAAGAATAGCATTATAAATGTTTATGTACAATGCTCAGTACAGTACTGCTTATAATACTGAAAAGGTTATAAAATTTGATTTATAATACTGAGACTCTCTCCAAACTAATCTATAGAATCAATACAATCCCAATCAAAATCTCCACAGGTTTGTTTTGTTGTTGTCATTGTGTTTCATTTCGTTGTGAGTTTGTTTTTCTGAGATGTGAAAATCTAATTCTAAAATTTATATGGAAAGGAATAAGAATAGCTAAGACACTCAAGAAGAACAAGGTAGGAGTACTATGGATTGAATGTGTCTCCCCAAATTCACATATTGAAGCCCTAGGCCCTCAATGTGATGTTATTTGGAGGCAGAGCCCTTGGGAGGTAATTGACTAGAGAAGGTCAAGCGGATAGGGCCTTCATGATGGGATTAGTATCCTTATAAAAAGAGAAAGAGACAGAACTGCCTTTCCCCTACTCCCACCCATCCCTTTCTTCCTAGGTGTCTGTACCAAGAAGGGCCATGCTAGGACATAATGAGAAGATAGCTACCTGCAAATCAGTAAGAGAGCCCTCGCCAGACAGCCAGTCTGCTGGCACCTTGATCCTGGACTGCCCAGCCTCCAGAACTGTGAGAAACAAATGTCTGTTGTTTAAGCTACTAGCGTATGGAATTTTGTTAAAGCAGCCCACACTGACCAAGACAGCAAAGACCTGCTCTACAGAAGACAAGATTTAATATAAAACTACTGTTATTAAGACAGTGTGGTATCAGATCAAAGACAGACAAAGCAAACAAGGGAACAGAATAGAGAGCTCAGAAACAAATCTACTCAAATATAGATACTTAATTTCTGAAAAAAGGTAGCACAGTAGAGCAATGTGGAAAGAATGGGACAACTGGATAGCTATACGGGCGGGTGGGGGGTGGGAGGGAGACACACAGACTTGATCCCTACCTCACACCATGCTGAAAAAAATCATTTCCAAATGGAATGTAGATCCAAATGTGAAAAGTGAAACAGGATATGGGAAGATGGGCAAAATGGGTGAAGGAGAGCAAGAGGTACAGGCATTCCGTTATGGAATGATTAAGTCACAGGAATAAAAAGTACAGCATAGAGAATACAGTCAAAGATATTGTAATAGCACTGTATGGTGACAGATGGCAGCCACACTTTTGGTGAGCACAATGTAACTTATAGACTTGTCAAATCACTATGTTGTACACTATACTTCTTAAAAAAAATGATTTTTGAAAAGTAAAACAGGAAAATACTCTCAGAGTAAAAAAAGAATTCTGTAATAAGAAACAAAAACACTAGCCAGAAAATAAAATATTAATAAATTGTAATAGATTAAAACTAAGAATTTCAGTTCATCTAAGGACACCATTAAGAGAAAAGGGCAAGCCACAGGCTAGAAGAAGATATCTGCTAGGCATATAGCCAATAAAAAACTCCTATCTGTATATGTTAACTGGAATTTAAATAAAAACTTGAAACAAAAAAAGAAGAAGAAGAAGAGACATCAAGATACAGAAAAAGAAACTCATTACAAAGAAAAAAATATGTGACTATGTATGGTGATGGATGGTAACTAGACTTATTGTGGTGATCATTTCAGTGTATTAAAATATCAAATCACTATATTGTACACATGAAATTAATGTTATATGTCAATTATACCTTAATTAAAAAAACTCCTATCCACATAAAAAAGAACTACAAATCAATAAAAGACAAGAGAAAAATGAGCAAGATACATAAACAAGCACTACATAAAAAAGAACTACAAATCAATAAAAGACAAGAAAAAAATGAGCAACATACATAAACAAGCACTTCACAAAAAAAGACATCAAATGGCCAATACAGAGATAAAAAGTGCACAATCTTATTAGTCATCAGAGAAATGCAAATTAAAACTACAATAAGAGAACACCAGACATCCATGAGAATGGCTGAAATTAAAAAGACTAGCAAGAATAAGAGCACCAGCAACTTTTAGAAACTCCTGGTAGAAAAGTAAAGTTCTACAACTATTCTGAAAAACAGTGGGCATTATCTTCTAAAGTGTTAAAACTCTATATACCTTTTGATTCAGTGTTCCACTCCTAGGTACAAAGCAAAAGAAATGCAGGTACATGTGTACCAAAGGAAATGTACAATGATGTTCACAGGAGCATAATTTATAATAACCCCAAACTGTAAACAACCCAAATGTTTATAATGTTTACAACAGAAAGCATACTTAAGTGGTACTATAAAGACAAGGAAAGAAACAAGTACCAAAAGGTCAGGATGACAGTAATCTTCTGGGGGGGGGGGAGAAGGCAGCGCTATAATGCTGGCAGGGTTCCTTTTGGAACCTCAGTGGTTTCCTTCATAATAATTCATTGATTTGTGCATTTCTGTTTTACTCTCTTCTGAACCTGTGTGGCAGTTCACCACAAGAAAAAGAAGTTGAAAATAATCTAATCTGAGCTATGGGGCTAGCTGCAAGTCACACAAAATCAGTTAGGTTCACAGATTCCAATCAATAGCTTGAAAATATAGAACTTTTTTCTATTTGATGCTATGTTAAACAAATTATTATCAAATTATTATAAACCTCAACCATTAAAGGCAGAGTATATTGTCCTCTCAAATTAAAATTCTCAAAGAAAACATACTTTACAAAAGCATTACTATTTACAAAGAAACAATAATGTTATGTTATTAATAAAAATACCTAACAATTAAAAATTGACCTGTCAAAATAATTTTCCATTTTGTTATCAACAGTAGCCTGCATTCTAGATTAGTAAGCTTCTTGTAAGAGGTTTATTAAAGAAGAAATTCCAAACTTACCTCTCTATTGGGTGTACCTTCATCAAGTTGCTCTGTAAATGAAGATGTCCTGCTCCTGGTTCTTGTTGGTGTTGAAGAATTGGAGGGAGCCTAGATTAAAAAATTATTGCATAAATTACAAAAACTACATTGGCTAGTGGACTACGTATTGTGTAGTCTTTCTCTCAGTTCATGCCCAAAGAACCCCATGAAAGAAAGGAAAAAACAAACACACGAAAAAGAAAACACTGAAAACAATCAACTAGAAGACCTAGGCTGCCTACTGGGTCCTTGGGTCTGACTCTACCACCAACCAGAACTGTAACCTTAGCTAAACTAACTTTTTGAGGGCTATGTGTCCTCATATATAAAATAAGGTTGTGCTGTTAACATAAGATGATAACATTAGGGGAAAGTGAAACCAGCTGAGGAGTATATGAAAACTCTCTGTACGATTTTGGCAACTTCCCTAAAATCAAAATTATTCCAAAATTAAAAGTTCATGAAAAAAATAAGGTTGTCAATTCAATCTTTAAAGTGCCTTCCAGGGACGCCCGGGTGGCTCAGATGATTAAGCGTCTGCCTTCAGCTCAGGTCATGATTTCCAGGTCCTGGGATTGAGCTCCCAGCTCAGCGGGGAGTCTGCTTCTCCCTCTGCCTCTCCCCCTGCTTGTGCTCTCTGTGTCTCTGTCTCTCGCAAATGAATAAATAAAATCTTTAAAAAAATAAAAAAATAAAGCACCTTCCAGCTCTAATATTCAATACTATGTAATGCACAAGTAAACATCTCTCTAGTCAAGGGCCTTGCTTTAAGTCTACCTTGCACACCACAGCTAGATCCTAAGATGCCAATCTATTTAGTTCTGTAAAGGAGAGCCTGACTCCTATCATTTTCAGTACAAAAATCCTCAGGAGAAAAGGCCCAAAATTTAAACCAGAAGGTTGAAATCTACTACTCTAAGATGAACTAAAAAAATCCTAAAAGTATAAAGCCAAAACTTTAAGACCCTCCCTCATGGATAACAAAACAGATCTGAACTTATCTACACATAGAAATAAGCCCTGATGTCTTACCCTTTTGTAGTCTGCAAAGCATTACATCAATAAAAGGCATTTAATAAATATTTGTTAAATAAATGAGTGAATGAATGAACCAATGGAACCCTGATCTGTTGAGTGGGCACATACTGCTGTGGGTAGGCTGGAACAGAGAGGTCATTAGGAATAGTGTACACACATACACACACATACATACATACACACATATACATATTTACTTCACAATGAGTGCAACATTTCAAATTAAGACAGATGTCCCATAAATGGTATTGGGACAAATGCCATCCATATGGGGGGAGAGACACCAATCAGATGCTTACTTCATACTTAAGCTATATTAAAGATTGAATTTTTTTAAGTTTTCATTTAAATTCCAGTTAGTGAACATACAGTGTAATATTAGTTTCAAGTATACAACACCCCGTACTCATCACAAGTGTACTCCTTAATCCCTATTACCTATTTAACTCATGATTTTTAAAAATTGAAATATAAAAGAAGATATGAGAGTTTATTTCTATAATCACTGAATAGAAAAGAGACTTTTCTGTCAAAACCAGAAATCAAAAGGAACAGTTTAATTGGGAGGAGGGGGGAAAATATCAACAAAATAATGACAAAAATTTAATAACTTTTTTTTTCTAAACAGCTCTTGTAACTCCGTAAGCTAGAACTCAGAAAACTTACTCAGTCTCCCTTTCATCTAGGGCAGGTGACCTGAGCTCCACCAATGAATATACCCACATGAGACTCTGAGTCATAAGTGAGGGATGTGAGAAAATAGACACACAAATTTGAAGTTCATCATCTGGTGAGCAATGGAAACAGAGCTTTATGCAGTTGTGCAGAGGAATTATTGATTCAGCTTTCCAGATACCAGGAAAGGGCTACTTTTAGACAGTGACCATCCAATGACTCAAAAAGTATACCCCCAATGTAAATATTTAAGATCTTTATACTTTGGCTTCATGTGAGCCTAATCAGTAACTGAGAACCTCATCAGCTCTGGATTAACTAGCAAAATCAAATGTTGGAGTGTGCAATAGGTAGGTCAGAAAACACACTGTATTCAGAAAAGTAGTACCACCTGCAGGCTTGGCCTGATGGCTGGTAGGTCTTACCCTGGAGTTGCAAGAGTAAGGATCACATATGTTACGTATGATTGTAAAATACAAAACATGCATAAAAAACTAATTGTACTTGACCATTTATCGGAAGGTCCTGGATCTTTAATGGGCTATCCTCACTTCAAAATATAAAGGGATTTAGATTCCTCCAAACTACACTTGGTCTAATTAATTCTCATAGCCATGAGAAATCTGGACTGGTTTCTAAGCTATTTGTCACAATTAATATCTTTATTGCCCACCAATGGATTATTAACTAACCACTGGCCTCTATTTCAGTATAGGGAAAACCATTTTAGTCACTGTGGTAGGTAGAGTTCTAAGATGACCCCAAATGACCCTCACCCTGTGAATATGATGAGCTCACTCCCTTGACTATCTCACACTGTATACATAGTAAAAGGGATTTCTACAGGCATATTTAAGGTTTCTAATCAGTAGTCTTTGAGTCAATCAAAAGATTACCTAGATGGGTCTAGCCTAATCACAAAAGCCCTTCAAATAAGAGTCCTGAGTGCAAAGGCAGAGGCAGAAGGCAGAGAAATGCACCCCTCCTGTCCTGAAAGAAAACAAAATGCCTATCAGGGCCAAGTGACAAGGAACTGCAGGTGGCCTCAGGAGCTGAATGGCCCTCTTCAACAGCCAGGAAGAAATAAGGACCTCAGTCCTATAACCACAGGGGACTAAATTCTACTACAGCCACATGAGCACAGAAGAAAACCCTAAGCTCCAGATAAGAACACAGTCTGGGGGCACATGGGTGGCTGTGTCAGGTTGGTGTCTGCCTTCTGCTCAGGTCATGATCTCAGGGTCCTGGGATTGAGCCCCGTATCGGGCTCCCTGCTCTTCGGGAAGTCTGCTTCTCCCTCTCCCTCTGCCCTACCCCCTCTCCATTCATGCCCTCTCTCTCAAATAAATACATCTTTAAAAAAAAAAAAAAAGAACATAGTCTGGATGACACCTTGTGTAACTCTGTGCAGAGAAACCATCGCCCATGCCAGACTTCTGACCTACAGACTATTAAGTAACAATTGGGTTATTAGACACTAAGATTGTAGTAATTTGTTATGCAACATTAGAAAATGTATACAATCAACTTTGGGAATAATAAGCCTTGAGTGGCTTGTCCCTATACCATGACTTTTCATTGTCCATTAAGACTCTGTTCAGATGTCACCCTCTCTCCAAAAATGCTTTCCTGTGTGCAGCCCCGGCACCCTGTGCACACTACTACCATATTAGGAGTACTTGTCTCTCAACCCCATGGTACAGAGACTACATCTACCCTTCAAGGCTAATGCAACATCCAACAAAGCAATTTAGAAGGCCCTGTTCAATAAATAAGTGCTCTAAAATTACAAATATATTTGACTGATTGATTGATTGGCTCCACACCCAATGTGGGGCTTGAACTCACAACCCTGAGATCAAGAGTTGCATACTCTACCAACTGAATCAGCTAGGTGCCCCAATAAATGTTTTTAAATACTTTTTGTTTTGATCCTCACAACCAATCTGAAAGATAAGAAGGACTGATATTCTCATCCCCAATTTCTCATCTCTGATGAGAAAATAAGGTCAGAATGCTTATGTCGCTTGCTCAGGTTGCATACAAGATCTGTGTTATGGGTTAGGACACAGGTCTTCCAATTCCCTCATCCACTTCCCTGGTATTCATTAAAGATTTTATTTATTTATTTGAGAGAGAGAGAGAAACAGCATGAGAAGGGAGAGGGTCAGAGGGAGAAGCAGGCTCCCCGCTGAGCCAGGAGCCCAATGAGGGACTCCAGGACTATGACCTGAGCGGAAAGCAGTCACTTAACCAACTGAGCCACCCAGAGGCCCTTCCCTGGTATTCTTAAATCACTGTTTCTCAGATTTTTTTTTCTACTGGGACCCATGATGTAAACAGACAACACAAAGCACTCATTTTACATACAGATACCTCTAAGACAAAAGTTTTACAGAACCTTAATCTTTATGACAGAAGGTGTCATATTTCCTGACCCAGTTAATTCTTTCATTACAATAAAAAAAAAAAAAAATAGAATCAAGCTAGGGGGTGCCTGGCTAGCTTGATCCCAGGGTTGAGTTCAAGCCCCACACATGGTGTAGGGTTTACTTAAAAAAAAAAAAAAAAAAGCTGATCTCAACCCACTAAAAGATTCCACAACCCTCTTAAATGCTTTCACCATACCATGTCCTTGGAAGAACAGTGTAAATAAACACAGCCACTAACTCTTAAATCTAGACTACATCAGATATATCTACTATATTTTAGTTATCTTAAAAAATAAAAATTAAAAAGCACTAATCCTAGGCTGAACAACACAACCTAAAGATAACAAAAACACAAATTTTGGATATTCATATTACTGAAAAGTTCTACATTAGAGTCAAAACTATGTTAACCAAAGTTTACTCATTAGGGGCTCTACTATCTGGGAGTATTCATGGAAAGAATTAAGATAGCTGAATTATTAGATAGATTTAGAAAAATATAGATATAAATATAGACATTGGTAGAGATGCAGATATCTATCTGAAATTATAGATTCAAAATGGTTACACCTCATTGAAAACCTAAAGGGCTTTGGAGATATAATGAGTTGTAACCATTTTGAATCTACAACTTTCTGAAATCAATTAACTAATTCTAGTTTTTAAAGATAAAAGGAGGGGTACCTGGCGACTGATCGCTTAAGCGTCCGCTTTGGCTCAGTCATGATCCCAGGGTCCTAGGATTGAACCCCACTCAGCAGGGAGCCTGCTTCTCCCTCTCCCTGCCACTCCCCCCTGCTTGTGCTTGCTCTCTATCTCTTAAATAAATAAATCTTAAAAAAAAAAAGGAAACAACATAATTTAACATTTTCTTTTTTCTTTAACATTTTCTAGGTTATCACTCTTGTAAATATGCTACTTATA